AGTGATGAACTGAAGTTAGCCGGAGTGATGAACTGAAGTTAGCCGGAGTGATGAACTGAAGTTAGCCGGAGTGATGAACTGAAGTTAGCCGGAGTGATGAACTGAAGTTAGCTGGAGTGATGAACTGAAGTTAGCTGGAGTGATAAACTGACGTTAGCTGGAGTGATAAGCTGACGTTAGCCGGAGTGATAAACTCACGTTAGCTGAAACTGATAAACTCACGTTAGCTGAAACTGATAAACTCACGTTAGCTGAAACTGATAAACTCACGTTAGCTGAAACTGAAATTAGCTGAAGTTATAAACTGACGTTAGCTGGAGTGATAAACTGACGTTAGCTGGCGTGATAAACTGACGTTAGCTGGAGTGATAAACTGAAGTTAGCTGGCGTGATTAGATGACACAACTCTGTTTAAATATTGTTGGGGGTTATTTTACCTTTTATTGTTTAATAATTTTTTTTTCAGGAACATGAATGTGAGCTGGGAGCTGACCGTGTCCAGCTGCACAGGATGGGAGACCACCGAGGAGCAGAGCCGGGCACATTTCTTCGAGACCTCTGTGATCCTCAGCTGGAGCCAGGGCTTCATCGTCAAATATCGCCACCTCAGCAGCATCCAGCTGTAYGGAGTCAGAAAGGAGACCTCCAGGAGTCTCAAGACCAGGAAGTAGGAAACTATTACTCTGTAGCAGTTTTCTGATTGGGCAGCTTAAACTCCAGAGTTTTGGGTTTGCGTTGTGAAAATCATGATTCCTGTGCTCTTCCTGCAGGCCCAGCTGGCGCTCTCAGATTTTAAACCTCAACATAAAAACGTCTCCGTTTCGCCACATCAGCAAAGACAGCCTGATAACGGTTCTGCTTTTCAAGCCGGGCATCATCATCGGCATGTGGAGGGTGAAGACAGAGCGGCAGCAGCTTTTCTCCACGTTGTTCCAGCTGATGTTTAATAATCCTCACCGTGTGTSTTTAGGGTCAGGACCAGGTGGCCTTCATCATGATCAGCCTGCACTTCCATAAACTGGTGGAGAGAAGTCTGCTGGGCTCTCCAGTCTGGTTGGTTCACTTCTCATCCTTCATGTCTTCATTTGTACTCCGGTTTCAGGTCCTGTCCCTTTAACACAAGGAAACAAATCAATAAATGATCAATAGTTTAGTTGTTTTCTTCCTTTATGAAGCTTTGAGTTCTGTTTGTCCCTTCCTGCAGCCCGTACTCACAGCCCGCAGACCCTCCACCTGCTGGAGACTCGGACCCAGAGCTGGGTCTTCATGGCTACACTTTGCACTTCGTCCTGCACAGCACCGGGACTGAGATCATGTCAGGACGCTTCCGCCAGCTGTCCTGTCTCAAAGGTAATCTGATTACAAGACCTGACAGGAAGACTTTACAGACAGTGGGTTTATTGGACATGTCCACAGGGGGGACAGTGGGTTTATTGGACATGTCCACAGGGGGGACAGTGGGTTTATTGGACATGTCCACAGGGGGGACAGTGGGTTTATTGGACCTGTCCACAGGGGGGACAGTGGGTTTATTGGACCTGTCCAGAGGAGAGACGGTGGGTTTATTGGACCTGTCCAGAGGAGGGACAGTGGGTTTATTGGACCTGTCCACAGGAGGGACAGTGGGTTTATTGGACCTGTCCACAGGAGGGACAGTGTGTTTATTGGACRTGTCCACAGGAGGGACAGTGGGTTTATTGACCGTAGGCTGTTAGAGATGCAGTTAGGGGACATGGAGGTAGATGGAAGGGGGACAGAGGACCCCTGTAGAGGGGACAGAAGTAGTMTATCCTTTATGGGACCCGTCCTGATGTCTCTGGTTCTTGTGTTTGACTGTGGACAGGTCGTGTCTTTTCTGGACTCCTGGTGATGAGGGTCATCAACAGGACGGACTTGTCCCAGCACAGGTCCCTCTCTGGAAGCATGAGGCTGCCCTGGAGGAGCTGCGAACTGGAAGGAACCGTGGAGGTAACTCAGGACTTTCTTAGTCCTGGTTCTGGTTCTGGTCCTGTCTCTCAGCTCTGATGTTTTCCTTGTGTAGAACTGCTGCGTCATGAGTCTGACCCTGCTGGACGTCTTCCAGAAGCCCTTCTGGTGCATCAGCACGCCCGTCTACATCTGCCTGAAGAACCCGGCCCAGTCCTTGGACTACAGCGGCAGGGACTTCCTGATGGAGCACCAGGACCCGGAGGGTCGGGTCACCATGAGGCTGGTCTGGTTGGAGGAGCAGAAGCAGTTCTTCCTCATCAGCCTGACCGTCTTCATCTCTGCAGCTAAAATCAACCAGCACTTCAGACGAGCCTACTGAACCTGGACCTGGACCTGGACCTGGACTCAGCCTGGTGCTGGTCTCCAGTTCAGTCAAGGTTTGATTGATTCATTTAGTTCCTTTAGCTCGATCTGTAAAAACTGTTTAAAGGTTGAGTTCTCAAATGATTAAATTAAGTGAAAAGTTTTGTTTGAAATAAGGACAGTATGTTCCACTCTTTGTTAAAGTAAATACACTTAATAACATGTTAATTATTGTTTAAATAAACGTTCACTTCAGTGTCGGTTTTATTTAAATATCACTAAAACAAGTGCTTCACAAGCAGGTTCAAACAAACCCTCAGCAAAATCACTCAGATTAATAAAATAAACAAACAACATGGAGCTCAAACTGAGCTTTTCTGTAAAACAAAATGTAAATTTCAAATTAATGGCAACACGTTTGTAAAAAAAAAGTTGCTCCTGGGGCAACAACATTTTGTAAAAAAATAAAAGGGTTTTATAATTAGGTTAATTGGCAACAGCTCCTTAAAGTGTCTGTGACATGCCTATCCTTCAAATACAAAAAGTCAAAGAAAGCATCTTTAGACATGATAATATTGGTATAGTACACATGATTTTACCCATTTTGTCACATAACTGGCCTGTTTTAAATTTCGCTCAGCCCAAGTGAAACAGGAAGTACATCAAAGGGGAATTCTTGTAGCTGAAACTTGAATATCTTCTCAAGAGACAGTCAAACTATTGTTCTTGGTAACTCCACCTTTTTCATCCTGCCTGCAACATCTCAAAGTTTGAATAATGACTTCTCCTGTTAATTCATCTGATACATCTGATACTTCACCCTTAGGCCTTAGAACAAAGACTAGACTTCCTGTCGCCAGTTAATTTGTTCATCACCTCTTTCAGAATAAGACTGGAATAAACATTGTTTGATATCAAATGGCCCCTGATGTTAAACAAGACGAGACAAAAACATCAAGACTCCCATCAGATTTATCTGTGGGTCAGCAACGCCACCCTGTGGACATTTTATCTATTAACCCTGAAAATATTTTATTTTTCACCCATGTTTTCCGTTTATAACTATAAAAAGCATCTGTGAAGTGTCAAAACAATACCTTGGTACTCTGATTTAATTACTATAATAATCATGACATTGTTTAAGT